CGAGAAATATATGAATCCTTGCCCGTCTCAGTTCCTCAACAGCAAGGAATTTCTTTAGAAGATATGCAAAAAGCGATCCAAACCGCACTAGTACAGCAAAAAACTGAATATCAGTCTTTATTAGAAAAGCAAAAAGCCGATTTCCAATCACAAATGGCCCAGCAAGCTGTCGCTCAAAAAGCACAAGCATCTGCTCCACAGATAGTAGAACCGGTTAGACAGCCGAGAGGTCTCCCATCTTCACTAAAAACAGAGGAAGTATGAAAAATTATTACATAGCAGAATTCTTAAAAGATTTAGGTATACTTAGTAAGAATGATTTAGATGCAGATTATCCTATAAAACCTTTTCAAAGACCTCGCCCAGAACGATTATATTCATCAAATCAAAATGCTAGAATAGATAGAATAGAATCGAAAGTAGATGAAATCGGTCAAATGACATCTCAATTCGGGAGGATGATGCTTGATAATCAATCCAAAAAACCTGTAGCTAAATCAAATTTTACACGTTACTATCCCCAACTTCCATCTACACGATCCCAATACACGCCCCCAACTTCAGATAATGAAGAAGATAATAATGGTAGTTATGACGAAGAAAATAATAGGTGGGCCAGGTACTATCCACAAGAAAAAAAAAACAGGTACTAGCAGAATCCAGCCAACCTGAAACATATGATCAGCTTTTGCCAAAGCTTTCACTGGCAATGCAAAAAATGTGTCTATCTCGCAAAGCTCAGAAAGAAAAGTCAAAGAATAATGAGTGGTTTTCGTCTTTACAATATCTGAATGCTAGTATAAATGACTTATCAATTTCTAATTCTTTTTTAGATTCTGCGAGTGAATTTGGCTGTATGAATGATCCAGCAATAAACGTGCTTGGATGGAAAGTTGATAAGCCATCTGATTTCGCTATAAAGGGGAACTCCAAGCATATCACCGAATCATTGGGATGGTTTACGGATGTGTCAGTGAGTATAAAGGATAAGGATGGTAAGACCATTACAGCTACTAGAAATTTTACTCGTATTAATAACAGTGAGCCTGAACCAATGCTATGTTTAGGTATGACATGAATTCGAAAAGTTCAAGGTATTCTTGATTCAAATAAAAATCAATTCCGAATGAAGTTACATGAGAAGGCTTATACTATTCTAACATATAGCAAGGCCCCAGTAGCTAAGGATCTGCCAAAAGAGGAGCAGGACCAAGTATTCACCGATTCCTCTAGCTCGATTAGTGAAGACTTAAAAAAAAATGTGAAGATCTTGAAAAGCGTCTCTTGAAAACTGAGAAATGGCTTGACTTGGCATTAAGGACTGGAAAGTTTTTTGCTGATACATGTGAATCTTTATGTAGAAGAGATATCAAAAGTACCAACTGAGCTTTTAAGCTTTTCACCGTGATTGACTAAGTTTTCAAGAAGAGATTCCAACCTTTTTTCCTGGGATACATCCAGCAAATTATTAGAGAGCATGTCATCTTTGTTCTCATTTTTTTCTTGTCTTATTTCTAATTCAAGAGAGACCTTCTTTTTTTGACCATTCTTTTTTGGAATCTTCATAATTGGAGTGGACGTAGATGGTACTGGTGGTACCGCTTCAAGATTCTGTTTTGACTTATCAGTCTTGAAATTTTCATCCAAAACAGGCTGAGATAGAATGGCCCCTTGCTGGAGGCGTTCTTTATTATCCCATATTTCATAAACACGTTTAGGTCCGATATGGAATTTATCAGCCATTTTTTTTGATGCATTGGGTATCCTACCTCTGGATTCTCTAATTTCTTTGATAGCATCATCTAATAATAGGGTTGTCTTAGCATCATAATATATATCATGGATACAGGCTACCATCTTCACTAGATTATTATACTAGAAAAAAAATATTAATGCTTTTCAATAAAATATCAATGCATATCAATGCAACAGGAGGAACCATCACATCATTTGTAGATCTGTTACACAATTCATAAAAATTTTTTTATATTGTTTTAAAGTACATTTTCAAAGTGTTTACGTTACTTATTCTGCTTTGAAGCGTAGAGTAATACTTTGTAAACTTGAAGCTTTCGTACAGTAGTTTAAGAATATCAGTTGAATCCCAGTGAATCCCACAACTTTTATATATAGATCTACGCCATAAAGATGTATATGTAAATAAGTAATTTATAAAACACCGAACTACAAATTCTAGACGTTGAGCAATAAAAACCAAAAAAAGTTTAAGGCAACGATTCAGCAAAGGTAACGTAGGTTTGAGCGTAAGTTTATATAATTTTTATACACTTATAAAAAAGATATTTGAAAGCTTAAAGCGAATATATAATAATATATAACGATATTGAATACAGTAAACTAACTATATATATATGTTATTTTTGTACAATTTTTTAATAGGATAAAAGATGTGGGAGACGAATATGAAGAGTGATTAAGTTAGCTTGCTCTGTATTATCAAGTAAGTTTGCTAATTCCCAATTCTGTTTTGTAGTAATTTCTTCGTCAAACT